GGAGACAGGAGGGGCTTGGAGCAGGAGGAGTCCAGCTGGACCCAGGCCACAGCCATAATGACAGCCCACGGTGGAGCCGATGGAGGAGCCATGGAGGAGGAATGGCCGCTGACTCCAGGGGGCCGACCAACGGCGGCGGAGCAGGTGGTGGAGGAGCCCGAGGCGGAGACAGAGAGCCGACGAGCCAGGGTGACGGGGAGGATCCGGAGGGCCAAGGCAGTGCAGATGGCGCCGGCGACTGACGAGGAGGCATGAATCCGAAAGGCCGCGGTGGAGCCGGAGTGACAGAGGACTGAGGAGGAGCCGAAGGGATGAAGAAGCCTAACAGAGCCGGAGCGACGAAGGGACGTGGCACAGCCGGAGGAGTGGAGTCCCAAGCAGGATGGTCGACGCCAGACCAAGGTGGAGCCGGAGGGACGAGGGAGCCCGGCAGAGCTAGTGGACTGCCGGGCCACGGCGGAGAGGAGGGAGCTAGGAGCCATGGTGGAGCCGATGGGTCCACGGGCCGAGGCGGAGTCCGGGGCTTAGAGGCTGGAGGCGGAGTCAAGGGATGCTACAGCCCCGGTGACGCTGGAGAATGGCAGTCCTGCGGAGCTTGCACCGTGCTGATGGTGGGCTGAGGGCGAGCAGAGGGGCTGCCAGACGACAGCGGAGGAGGAGGCAGGAGTGGGTAAGAGGGCGGGCATTTGTGAGCCTCTGGCCTTTCAGGGCTGAACTCATGAACATGAGCCCCCCTTGGGCTGGACGTGGGAACAGGAACCCTCTCCCGGCTGAACTGGGAAATGGGAACCCACTCAGGGTTGGACGGGACCAGTGGGGACGAAAGAGATAGGAGAAGGGGGCAAGTCGGGTTCCAGCTCTGTTTCCCAGTCTATGAGGTCCTCCTCAAAGTCCAGCAGTCCCAGATGTATTATCAGCTCACCCTCATCCGCGGTGCAGAGGGTGGAGCTCCACTCCACGCTTTCTGTTGCCGGCTCTCGCACCTTGACTGACGTCATTTGCTGCTCCGGCTCCGCGGCGATCCTCAGCACTGTCGCTCCGTGCGGCGATGGCTCGTCAGTCGCGGCGGGCTGCGGCTCTCAGTCAGTGGTGGGCTCAGGCATGCGTTCCGCACATCGGGGAGATGGTGGGCTGGGCACTGGGTCGGGAGTGGAACTGGCGAGATTCTCCTGGGAACAGGCGGGGAACGGAGATCCGTTTCTCACCAGTGTCCACTCCACAAAGGCGGCGGAATTCGCTCGAGGACCATCTTCGGACGACAGCGCTCTGCACGAGATGTTTAAACTGGCGTCGTAGAACGCACAGAGCGCGTCGTCCGGATAGCTGGTTAGAGCAGCGAGAACCAGGAAAAGTCTGGTATGGCCCTCGAGCGATCTCTCCCCCTGCTCCAGCAGGAGGAGGAGGTATTCCGGACGGGAGAAGGGATCCATGAAAACGGAAAAAAAGACACTAGGAAAAACGAGAAAACAAACGGAGGGGAAAACACGGAGGTGACTGTGTAGGTCAGGTCTTTTGGCACGGTACGCTGTTGGAAAGAGCACGAGGGAAACGTGGAGTACAATCAGTAGTCTTTAATCCATAGAACACAGGGGAAATCCACACAATAGGCACATGCACACACACCTACTCAACGAGTAGACCCGACAAAGCACTAAGGAACAGACAGGAACTAATATACACAGGATAATAAGGAACTCAGGTACAAGGAATCATAAGGCAATCAAACTAAACAAGAACAGGAAAAAGAACATAAAAGGAAACACATGAAGAACTACGGGGGCAAAACGGGTCCAAAAGTCTGACAGCATTACTATCCTCATTACTTAAAAAAAAAAAATTATTTTGAATATATAGTGCACAACCACTCAGAGCACCATAGCAACTAAAAAAAAAAAAAAAGGAAAACACCCAGACAACTACTGATAACACCCTAGCATTGTTGCAGAACACTTTTCATGAGTTGACACTGCTCATATTTAGCTCCGAAAAAAGGTTCAGTTCAGTAAATACAGTTACATATTGTTATTGTTGTTAGTTAATTCAGTTTACTTGTTATAAGTTTGTTCACTATAATGTTAAGTACAATGTTACTATTGTAAATAATTTCATAATGCTGTGTCACACTGTGTCCTAGTACAGCGCACAAGGACATTATTAAAAATATCTTCTTTTGTGTTCCAAAAGGGGAAAAAGACGTGTTTAGAATTCACAAAAGGATGAGTAAATGACAGATTTTTCCTTTTATTATTTTATTATCTTGTGGGGCGATTAGCA